GCAAAGAATTTGTCAAACTAGGGTTTTCAGAAATAGTAAAGAACTGAATCAAAACTAATCAACTGCCTTTCACAGCATCCATGTAAGACCACACCTGTTGTCCTGGAGATGAAGTAGAATCATGTTAAATGAGAATAGGAAGAAAGTTTACTAAGGTTTTTGCAGTTCAAGGAAAAAAAAAAAAAACAAACCAAAACTATTCTTTGGGATAAAGATGATTCTGAAAAGAAACTGTAATGGAAGTTCTAGCAACAAACAATGTCAAAACTCCCTTGGAACTGAAAACACATGTGTTGTAGAATATACACAAGGGCCTGAGGACAACTAATTCTATTAATGTCTTGTTTTCATACTGAATAAAACAAATTATGTTATACAATTCAACTTTTTCAGGCTTGAATTCAATGGTTATCTGAAAGGCATCCAGTGCATTAACAAAGGTATCCTAGCACAAGAGAAAAGCTTTGTGCATTAAAGGAATATCAAAGCCTTCCTGGCAGAAATGAGTCAGGCATGCACTAGAGCAACTCTACGTTGTGCTTGTGCCACTTCATTCCTACGTTCATCTCTGACACTCAAGTTGACCCAAGTTAATAAAGTGTGTCTGTGGGGTGGACATCTGCACAGCTCACACCACACCCAGTGTGTCAGGTTAAGGACAGTGGCTAAACTGCACTTTATCCCAATTTCCTGAAAATTCTCCTGCCAAAAGGCATACAACTGCAAAGTTAATAAAGTGTGTCTGTGGGGTGGACATCTGCACAGCTCACACCACACCCAGTGTGTCAGGTGTGGTAACAGGTAACAACTGCAGTAACAGGCTCTGATCTCTCAGCAGCAGTTTCAGAGAGGGATGCAGGGCAGAGACAGAGGGAGAAAGGCCTCAGGTCTAAGGAAGTCCTCTCTTCTGCCTTGAGTACTGTGTGTGACACAGGTTCGCCCCAACTTCCTCATCACGCCAAGTGCACCGCTCCACTCCCAAATTTGGATGCTAGGGGTGCCTCACAATTTCTGGCTGAAGAGTGCTGACAGCGAAAACACCACATCTCTGCCACAGTCTATCCCAAAGTGGCCATGAGAACATTCATTCCACTTTTATATATCCTTAAATAACTGCACACGTGCCACATGAGAACTTCACTGTTCATTAAGTTAAATAAATTATGTTTGAAGCAAAGTCTTCATAAATTTTTCTGCAAGCAGACACTGAAATATTTCAAAGTTCTGGTGGACTTGCATAAGGGATGAAAAGATGCAGACCATCAACTTAGCTCCTAGTTTCATATTAAGTAATGATTTGGCCTCTGTAATAGTCAGCTAGCAGCAGCATACACACAGTGTTTAGAAGCACCTCTTCAACTACTTCATTTGTTTTATCACACCTTCACAGAACAGAGGAGTTGACAGAGAAATTAGTCCACAGAACAAACACCAGAGGACAGGAACAACAATGGTCCCTCTCGTGGAACAAGAGAAAACACAGGCTCCGTATCTGCACTGGAGCATCTGCAAGAATTAATAATTTGGTCAGAAAACACATGAAAAGTTCAGAAGACCCATGCAACTAGTCTACGAATAAGGTATTCTTTCACCTTCCCTTAAATGGACCCATCTCCAAAGCACACTGCTATTTGTGAAATACCAACTAAGACACAGAGATGGCAACTCAAAAGCCCATCTTAACCACTGTGAAGCAAAGGCAAGTGACAGAGCAAGACCTTCAGGAGGACTCTGCCCAAGACATTAGCTTAATCTGTCTGCTCTTTAAGCAACTTAAAGAAAGCATGCACCTGCACAGTTCCAGGTTAACTCAAATACCTGGAAAAATATTAGTATGAACTATAGTGGAAGACTGGATTATGGCATCAATTACAGCCACCTGAAGAGTACTATGCAATTTAAACAAGCATAGAAGCCTTCACTGAGCTCAGGTCTTTAACTCCCAGTTACTACAAGTTCACCCCCTTTCTTAGCTGTAACACGCTTCGGATTCACCATTTATTCAATGCTAATAAGTTGAATACAGCTCTCAAACATCATTCACACAAAGTCACCTTGGCTGCTTACAGAGTAAAGAGGGACAATTTCCTTGCTTGATTCAAGATTACTGTAAATACTAAAACAACACTAAGTAGAACACAGATCCATTTCATTATACCCTCCCTAGTACTCAATCTCTAAATATTTCAGGATTTACACTTTAAGTAAGAAACAATTGAACAATAAGCCCTACCCTGAAATATTAAAATTTAGATTCAAGATTAAGTGAATTTAATCAATCCCAAATCCAAGCAGATTCAATCCCGATCAACAGTCCCTTGCTTTAGTATTACATTATTTCTTACAATTTAGAACTCACACCAGTGTGCTAACATGCTCATTACAACTTTGTTCAACTCTGCAATTATATCGTTCTGCAGGAGGTTGTTCAGAATTAACCGTTACATGGTTACAAGTCACTTCATTAGCCCTGAATTAATAACACTTGGTTTCCAATGGATTTATGACTTGCAATTGATTAGCTCTGATTGAAGCTCTTCCCATGTTCCGGGCACACACAGGCTCTTGTGCTCAGAGGTTTCTCTCCTAGGCAAGAGAGGAACTCAGAGGTAATTTTCCCTTCAGTTAGAGCACTAGCCACTTTTAGGTCTTTCCCTTGCAAGAATTTCATTACCTTTTATGTTTCTACCTCTGCCACATTCAATCAAAAGAAGCCACCCAGCTCAAAATTGAAGAGGAACGCAGGCTACAAATGTTTAATTCTAACCCCACAGTTTTTTAGAAACAAAGCAATTGGAAAAAAAATCAGTTTACTCTTGTCCTTTGATTAGGCAATTGTAAAAACAAATTCAAAGCAACTTCAAGTTATTACATATCCAGAGATTCTTTCTACAGCAAGGAAAAGGATGAACGAACTATAGTCTGGAATACTACTTTGATCATTTTCAAATGGCTTGTCAAAGTTGTCTAACCATTGCTATATTGCTGTAAGTCAACAGTTATACATAAACAAGTGAATTATAATGGCACAAAGGCATTTGACATGTAACAGAGCAAAAAAGGTAGTTCTGCAAGATGAAACGTTAGTCAGAAAGTAAATTTGTCTTCAGCTCAAGAGCTAACATACTACATTTAATAAAACAAACATGAGATATGTACACAGTGACACTTAATTCCTAATCCTAATATGACTGATAACCTATGCAAAATTTATAAAGTACTTTATAAGGGAAGTCCATATTATACCCATTTTATAACTCAGCGAGTCATGGAAAGATTAAGTAACTTTCTCAGGGTCATATTAGCAGGTTACTGGCTCAAGTAGTGGGAGAAAAAAAAAAAATCAAACCACTCAGGGCAACCAAACCACAGTACTGGATCCTCTTACTTAAGCTAACCTCCTTCTCTTTATGAAAAAAGAATTCCACCCTTTGCTAGTGCATTGCTTACATAAAGAGGCAGCAAGCAGTGAAGTATTTCCCTTCAGGCAAAAGGAAAGAGTCCTATCAAAAACACTCAATCTATTTTATTCCCTTTTAAAAACTGTTGCACACAAGGTTAGCTAGGTTTGCAGTTGTTCTCAACTTGCAAAACCAAAAGTGAACAGAATTAAAATCTAATTTCACAGTCAATTTAAAAAAAAAAAAAAAATCTACACTGAGGTAAACACACTTCAAAGATATCAGTTCCAATGCCTTTCCAGATACTCCTCATCCTCCAATTTCTCTTCCATCCCCAATGACATTTATTGGCAAAGCAACTTAGTATCAAAGGAAAATGAATTCAAGATACTTCTTTTAATAAAAAACAATTAGAATTACTTTTTAAATGTTAATAAGGTCTCCACATAATACTAAAGGCTGCTGAAAAAAAACTATTTCCTCTGAAAACTGCAATATTTTAAACAGAAAAATATCTCCATTTAAGTGTTGATAATAAAATTACACAATGAATTTACTTAATGGAACTCTGGGTTTACTGCTTAACCTTCTTGTACTTCAAAAACACAGCAATTTAAAAACTCAGCCACAGACAAAATACAGACATCACAATCGCACAGCTCAATGTCCTGTATGAACAATATTCTGTATCAGAAACAACCAGGTATGCACATGGCAAAAGTCACAGCAGGTTTCTGAAATCTGCTTCTTTCAAATACATCTGATCGCTGTGCAAGCAATTTACTGTGTGATACTACACAGATGTTCACAAGCATCTATTTTCCTCCTGCAACACTGCACACATTAACAGAGGACAGTTTTTGTGTGTTTTTTTCATATTTGGGAAACAACGTATGGCACAATATATACATAACATGATATATGGCAAAAGAGGAATATATTTCTTCTTTTGCTTATTTTGATACTCTGCAAACCACCTGAAATAAAAATTTAGGACAACAAAATGTGAAATGAGGAAAGGTCTAGAAGCATGCACTCTCTCCATTCACAGAATTAAATTATCAAGTGAAATTAGCCTAGTGAAGCAGCTAAGTGCCTTGTTTTAAAAGTTAGAAACATAAAAGCAAGGTCATGCAATACCATTCCCATCTTTTATACAAAAAACATGAAGGCATTTAAATGCCTGAAGTAATGATAAAAATGATAGCTGATTTTACCATAAATATATATTACTGCTTTTTAAGCTTAGGGATTATTTCAAGTAGCCTTTTATTATATCAAATAAAATAAGGATTCTATTTATACAGAAAGAGTCAAGTAATAAAATGAAGCCCATATTCCTTAAGACAAGACGCATTCATGCCTCTCCCACTGGAGAGACTGGTTCAACAATTTTACAGTTAAACAGAATTAATTCTACTCTCAAAAATCCATTGACCTTAAGCTTTTAACAAACATTTGCAACTGCAGAGTGTATTGTCAATATTTACAAATCCTTAAAATTATATTTCACTAGAACAGCTTTTATTTGCTTTATTAATATTTCCTTGCAAATGTATGCTTATCCATATCAGAGAAGAAGAAACAGCTGCTACTCACAGGAAATCTCTGGGGTCCGACAGCAGGTCTTGGCTGGGCTGGAACTGGCAGCAAGGGCACTGAAACAAGAAGCACCTTTTAACACCATTTGTTTTACCTAACAGTTGTTGCTGTTATTTCCAAAAGCAGTTGCAGTACGAAGACACGACTGAAAACTGCTACATTTACCCTCCTGCGTCACAGTTCCTACAATTCACGCTAAGCAACCATTCTCTCCCCTGCAACATGCAACAGGGCAATTAGGATTCTCCTAGTTAATCTGCATAACTTAATTCTGCATTTTCCAGAATTAACTTGCTCCTTGTTGCAGAAAGGAAAACTAGAATACTTACTTAGCCAAAGCTGACAGACACTCGAGTGCCCTTCAAGTAGAAGGATACATGATTTATTTCCCTTCCCAACTTCACACCCCTCGAGGTTTTCTAGGCATCTCCCAGTCTTGCCACCAACCTCCCACAACAAGCATGGGCATGAGAGACTATCTGGTAAATGTCACTGCTCACAGGAGGGTAAAATGAGGCAGGCAGTGGCTATGAACATCAAGCAAAAACTGCTGAGTCCAGCCTTGCCAGCACACTGCTGTACGGAGCTGTGATCACAGCCCGTGTAACCACAGAACCGCTGAGCTCAGAGCAAAGGCTGTTACGACAGAGACACCAAGAAGAATCCAGAGAACATCTTCCTGAAAAAACACCTCCAAAGTTAGTATTTCAGGGAGATTAAAAGGGATGAATTGTCCATCCAACTTCACCTCAAAAGACAAGACACAGCAGTGCTTCCACAAACAGGCAGTGTTATAGCACAATGCACCTACAGCTGGATCACCGTGGGGACTGAATCTATATTTGAATCCCCAAGGCATAAGAGCAGACTTTCCCATTGTCCAGTGCACTTTATTTCATTTCTGAAGTTGTCTAAGTGGGTAAAAGTACAAAAGTTTCAATGTTAAAGGCCTGAAGGAGTTAAATAAAGCATTTCAAACAGCACTGTTAGCTCATTCACTAAAAACTTTCAGTAAGGTTATTTTCCTTCAGATTGCTTTTAGCACTTCTGAAAGCAACAAGAAAACATTTTCCCCACAGCGTTAAACATCAGCTTTGTAGACAGCTACTGTATCACACTTTGGAGTAGGAAAGATGTTCAGAAATACAGCTAGGATAAGGGAGAATCTTTGTGCATTTCCTGACACAGGAGTTTGCTAAGATGCCTCAAAAATCCCTTTTTCACTTGGTAACTGAGGCACAAGAACTAATGCATCAGTGGTTATTTTTAGATCATGTCCACCTCTGGCTTCTTATCCACTTTTAAGTACTTGTTGTTTACCAGTTTGGGGAACAATGGGGTAAGCTAATGGCACCAGTCTTTCAGCACCAAAGGACTGCAGGCAAACTTAGTATCAGGTTACATGAGAAAATTAGCTAAATAGTCTCATCTTGGTTACTAATGAGCATCTGTTGATATCAAACAGCCATGGCCACCTGGAAAAGATTGACGGGGTGCTCTTGACAGACCTAGGACTAAAATAGCTCAGGTATTACAGGTCAGAGAGGCACTCAGAAAAATCATACAGGGAGGGAAACGTGGAGAAATGTCAACTCAACAGGGCACTTGTGCCTATTTCAGTAACCTGCCTCTGGCAGTAGCATGCATAGATACATATATATATTTTAAGCAAATGAATTTAATACTCATGAAAGATAGTAGTTCAAACTCTGTGCCCTTGCAATCCTTGGACACTTGCTGAAGCAGCAAAGAAGTCTCAAATAAGTATTCATTCTTCTGATGTCAGATCCCAAAGGTTTGAGAAGTATGTTACAAAAATAGTACACAGTATGTTGCCAGACATTATTTTAAGAACATTAAACTGGTTTTGGTTGTAAATTCCAATGCTATATCTGAGGCAAAGAAGCAATTCCTGTATTATTTAGAATTATAATGTCATTTTTCCCAAGACACCAAACAGGTTTTAAAAGGTAGATGGCATACTAATCTGCAGAGCTGCCATAAACTGCTGATTAGTTCATGTCAAATTTGGCAGCACCCACAGTATCCCTGAAATAGTTATTTGTGGTATAACCATTAAAGGCAGGGGGGGAGAGAATGGAAACCCAATAGCTGTTACCTTAGGTTGAATTACTATTTCATAGTACATGTATGTGCAGTCCTCCAGCCTTTGTGAGTTGATCAGACTCACACCTGGACATGCACTCAGCCAAAAATTGTTGTGAAATTTTGAGTTTTAAGTAACAATTTACAGGAGGTTTGAGCCTATTTTAGAAACTACTGATATACTCAACACATTTCAAGACTCATTCAAACCAGGAAGATGTTGAGAAAGTGTATTTCTATGACCTGCAGTTAGAAAAAGTGTCCCTGGTGCTGACAATTAAAGTATGTGAGCTTAATCCTGCCATAAAATTAGAGAGGAAAAAAATCCCAGTCTACACTATAACATTACAGCACACCATTGAAATTACCAGAACCTAAGTGTGTATATCATGCGCTTCCAGACATGGCATTTTTAGCTTCCAGACATCATATTTTCAACAGCAGAATCCCAGTTAACTTTGAACTTATCTGACTCAATGGGTAAAACCCCTCATGTGTCTGGAAATACATTCAGCCAAGAAGGGGCAGGACACCACCAAGAACATGAAGCCAGTCTGCTCTTTCATACTTCCTGTTACCCTGAAATAAATGAAGATGCATGTGAAACATCCTCATGTTTCCAACTACCACTCTCTGCCTGCTGGGGCCTCGAGCAGATGGATTAAACTGAGGAGGACTTCTTAAGGGGAAGTTTACAACAGTTCTCCCTACACTGGAATTTCTATCATTTGCCTGCAGTGACTGCTTAAAAATTCACCATAACATGCAAATGAAGATTTTAGAATTATGCTCATCTTCCCTGAAGAAAACTACTGATTTCCTACACATTTTCATTAGGAGTGCAACTTTACACTTACATTCAACAATTATACTGCTTCAGACTAAAAGACTGAGATGGTCACTTCTCTCAGCCACTGCAGAAGACTCTGCTCTCTAATCAAGAATACTAAAATCCTACAACGATTTAGAAGATTGCATTTAATAGGATGCTGCACAGCTACTAGCAGAAATATTTACTAGTTCTGCCAAGGATTCCTTCAGTAAAATGAATGGCACAAAGGTCTTTTGTATGAACCAGCTGCCATCAATACACATAGAAGCTCTTCCTCACTGAAACAGAGGTCTTGCACCGTTCGTAAATGGATCACACATTCTCCAGGGCTGCACATTCCAAGACGACAACCACACTTCTACCAGTCAGGAAATGAATGTGCACACAATAGGAATAAGATCTAAAAAGGAAGGCTACAAATCCACTGTTGAAGATCTCCTAACACGCAGAAGGTACAGTACACAACTTCACTAAAATAAGGAACTGCAAATAAAGACAGAAGACTACACTCAAGATAAAGCAAAGCCCCTAGAATACCCCCAGTGCCACAGTTGTAGTGGTAAGGCTGAGACAAGCCTGAAGCCACCCAGTAACATGAAATAAAACCACAGACAAAAGAAAAAAAATACACTCATGTACTTTTAACATTAGGCAAAAGCAAAAATCACCAGTAGCTAATGGTAGCAGTGGGAGGACACCAGCTCACCCAGATACAGAAGATCTGATGACTGTTTCACAGGGACACAGGAGAGGCATCTAGAACACTCCACAGTTTCAATCATTGACAAAACAGCAACTGCTGCTTTGGAAATGTTAGGAAAATGCACAGAAGGAACAAATCCAAGACTAAAGGACCTTCTGGACTGCTTCCAGATAATCTGTCCCAATGCATAATTTGGTGGGAAGCACTGATTTTATTAGACAGGAAAAAGCAAAATCCTCTCTGTAACAGCTACTATAAAGCCACCTGTGAGAAGCCTAATAGATCTCTATCAACTGGCAACGTCCTGCTCTGCCAAATTCCTACTTTTCATCGGTCAGATAAGTGAAGCAAAGGTAGCACTGGCTTAGAGTTCTGCTAATTTGAAGGGGGGAAAAGGGGGAATACAGAAAACTTGATGTTAAGTAGGAAATAAATATATATTTATTTTTGTCTAGTCCCAACAGAATCACAAATCAGAGTAATATAGGTGCCTTTTTTTTTTTATCCCCTTAGGGATTAAAAAACCTAAGTAATGTTAAAGGCTCTGCTGAAAGCTGACCTAAAAAGCATAGCCCAAGGGGTGCTTGTGTTAAGGTATGGTAAAAAGGTATTTGCAGGATGCAAAACAATCACAAATGTAGCACTGAAAGGAGAACTGAGGCCATGTATCTCTGTCAAGTCACATCAGCAGCTGGAGCTTTTTGCAGAGCTATGACAGTGCAAGGACTGCCTCAGCATTCTCTCACTGAAATAGGTGGGTGGGCATTCTGAGGATGTTTGGCTGAAGCTAGAATGATGTGGGAAACCACACGCTGCAGTACTTACCTCATTTTGAAAAGTGACATTTGCTACCTTTTAAAAAGAATGTTCTCGTCTCAGTTTCCATTTTTACTGCTTTTTGCAGGATTTACAGTAGAGTAACAAAGACGATAAAGAAGTTGAAAAAGCTTTACTATTTCAGCTGGCCACAGTTCAACAACATTATGTCTTACTTCAGGCAAAACTTTTGTTTCAAGTTTAAGTGGAAAAATAGCAGCCTGAAGCACATTTCCATCAAGTGATAAACTGTTGCATCTCTGGCAAAGAATAAGATGAGTCACACTCATGTGACTGGGAAGGTGTTCAGAAAGCTCACCTTGTACAGGTGTCACTACTGTCCCCTTGAAATGTGGATTTATGTGTATGTTCTTCGGTTGCTGAGGTGTCACTGGAGGTGGAGTCATCATTATTCTAGGCGTTTCTATCTGAGGGGGCATATGTAGCCCTGGAGGAGGAGAAGAATGATGCTGATGCTGTAAAGGAAGCAGAGATTGTAACTGTTGCTGCTGCTGCTGCTGTTGATGCTGTTGTTGATGTTGCTGTTGATGTTGCTGCTGCTGCTGTTGCTGCTGCTGGAACAGACTCCTAACAGGTTGCTGGTGTGTTGGAATTAACCTCTGTGAATGAGTCTAAAGTCAGACAAAAGAATAAAGTCAATATGCTTTTAAAATCAAAATATACTGACATAAACCAGCACAAAACCATGACACCTTTGGAGAACAACCAAGGCCAAACATGAACAGAAAAACTTCTTTCCCATATCATCAACTGAAACTGTTAAGAACCAGCAGCACAGGAAAGCAAAAACAACTGACAACATTTACATGAAAGAAAGGACAGCAAGGAACAAGGAACACACAGGGAATGTAGACATTTACTGACTTATTTTTCAGTGAAACTATTTTTGTGTACTAAGGTTCTGCATGTCACTGGAAATGGTAACCAGCTGCGATAATGTATGTGTGATGATGTCTAGAAATCTGAGTCCTAGTATCAAAACAAATCCACTACCTGTTGTCTCACATATAAAGAGCCTCTCTGAGAAAACTGACTAACAGCAGCAACAAAAGTCAAAGTACAGATTAAGCTAGATTCTTGAGATATCAGTACAGGCCACCTATCCATACTGCTTGAAGAAAAAAAACTACTCTAAAGATACCTTTCAAAGGTACCTATTACAACACAGAAGAATGTCTCTTGCTGTGCAACACTCAGACACAAATGGCCAGGATCAGTTACCATAAAGAAAAATATGTTTTTCTTCATGTTCTTCTGCTTCTGAACTCTTATACTTATTATAATACTTATTCTTATACTAGAGAATCAGTCTTAATCCAGTAACTTTCAAAGGGTAACACAAGAAAAGTTGCAGTCAACTTTGTAGTAACAAAGATGTGACATCAATTTTTTCAGCAGCTGTATACATAAAGCAAAGCAGCTATAAAGTACTCAAAAGAAAATACTGTGACAAGCACAAAGTGTTTACAACATTTATGATCAAAACCAGAAAAGACTGCAGCAATACAGAAAAAAAAAATTCCACCTTCACTGTTTTAAAAGCATGAAATATTCTACTGCAGAGCTCTCAACCGCCTGAGACATCCACCGACTCCTGCTAGGGATCAGCACCTAGAGTTACTGCTGTTGAAAAAATCCCCTTTGTTTAGTACAGGTGACCTTGTCCTGCAAAGACACACACAGGCTTTGTTCTACAGCCTCAGCTTCCCATACATTTTATGGCAGTTCACAAAACTAACTGTGGGCTACATCTTGATCACACACCTGCTGTTTTGTTGGTAACATCTTTTGGTTTGATACTAAGCACAGTGTGTGTTGGGGGGAAGAGTAACAAAGCAAAATTTCATCTGAGATCCCAAGACACTAATTTATCAAGCAGAAAAAGTTTAAGAAATTTTTTTAATATTTTTTTTTTAACTAACCTACTATAGGAATGTGGGTCTGAACATGTTTATGTTGCATGTACAGGACTTCTCAGAGCAATTATTTTTTTCTTCTATCCTTATACAAACCACTAAGTTTGTGACTGTGCTCTATGTATGAGTCAAAATCCACTTTCTTTTTGGAGGCCTGGAGATTCCTTCAAATTGAGGCTGGTAACAGAACTAAACACACACTTCACCAATCACCACATTATGCAAAGCCCATCTCACCTAACAGTGCTCTGAAGGAGCAAAAAGTGTATGTTGGAATATATATTCCACCCTTGTAAATACTGACAATTTAGAATGCATTTCTCTGTAATTTCCTGGAAGTATGTTCAAGGAATACTAAGGATTAAGAGGTACCATTGTTGATGGCTGGTTTGGCAGCAGTGCAGGCCTGTGATCCTTCATTCTTCCCCTATCATTGTCTCTCCTTTGTTCTCCCATTCCGTGGCACATAATTGAGCCTCCTCTTCGGCCTCTCCTCGAGCCGTACCGCCCCTGTTTGAGCTGCCTTTCCCTTTCTTCAAATTCAAGTAATGCTGCTTTTGCTTCCGCAGAAAGTTCTGTCAAAAGAGAGAGATGACGACAGAAGTATTTTAGCTTCATCCTGAAAAATACTGTGAAAAAAAACATCACTAGAACTACGGACGCATCCCTGCAACTGATATGCAATTTGCAGACACTTTGATCTCCTTTAGGTGGCATGTTAACATTTCATTAAAGACATCTTTAAAAGGAAAATGCACACAGATACTTGTGTCTGTTGCACAGGCAAAAAGCAGCAGGTAAATGAAACAAACATGAACAAAAGAGTTTGCTTGTGTCTTTCATATGCTACACCTTCACGCCTTATGCTGTTAAGATGCTGTTAAGATCTGTGTTATCTTAAACATCATCTCATTTATCTGCAGAGGTGTCAGGCAATACAATGAAAACTCCCAGTAAACTTTACAGTAAATGATATGTTGGCTTTTCCATATAAACAGATTTTATCTTGCCAGACTCTTTTGCATATTGGCCTGTTCCAAAGAAGGACTTTTTGGTTGTCCAGTTCCAAAGAAGGACCTGCAGGTCACCAAAATGTTTTTCTAATTTATTAAGTAACTACTTAATATTTACTCTATTGTATGTGGTTTAACAACCAGATGAAGTTTACAAGTGATAGGAGAGAGCACACTTCAAAATCTGTGCTCAGCTCAAGTCAAACACACAGCCACTGATAACATCCACCCTGCTCACACACAAGTAAACACCAGAGAACAGACGGTACTCAATGAAGACTGACAAATTTGCTTGAAACCTGGGACAACACTGATAATATTAAGAGAAAACCATGCAGTAACAGGCCCAGGTAGTCAAATTACTTGGAAATAGAAAGTCTACAACAAACTTTAGGAAACACCCTGTGACAGTACAAGCAGTGCCACTCGTCACATTTCAGTTCCTTCAGGGGGATAAACTTTAACCCAAACATACAGCTGCAGATTCCTTGATACCTCTAAAATTCACTTCTGCCTCTAACAAAGCAAACTTAAACTACTCTACAGGAAACACTTGTGACAAATAAAACACATTTTGAATTCATGTAAATGGCAATTAGTGCAAGAACTTCAGTATTCCATTTTGAAATTCTGCTGTTAATGTTAAAGGGTACAGGGACCCTTTAACATTAACATCCTTTCCAAGAGAAGGTGGTTTTACTTGCTCATGCTATACATAGTGGCAGAGCCCAAGATGATGCCCATAGTATGCTTAGGAAGGGCCAGAGAATCATACTCCCTCACGTCTCAGTATGGTGCTAAATGTGCACACTATGGATTTCTGAGGAAGATTAAGATAAAGGTACTCTTGTCCAAAGCAATCAAAAGCATCAGATGCAACTAAAAGCACCACCTTATCCATCCTCAGCTGTCAGGGATGAAAAAAAAATGTTGGTTTAACAGGAAAAACAGAGCTCTGATTTCAAGCCTCTTTCCTGCCCACCCCTGCAGCAATTTCAGTTTCTTTATAGGCTTCCAAGTGTCAAATGGCTAATTTGGGCTTTCAGCTGGTCTGCAGGAAAGACAGACCACTAGCTCCCATACACATATGGGAAGAAATGGTGGCACTGTATCACAAAGCAATAGCTCTCCTGGGGAGGATGTGAATCCTGCACGGCATCCTGCTCCTTGGAACGTGTTCTCTTTTTCCAGTAATAGGACAGGCGGGGCAATTTTTCTGCCATCTTCCACACTATAACCCTGAAGTCAGCAAAGGAGCTTGGAAAGCAAAGTTCAGTCACTGCAACAAGCACCCACCACTGATATTCATTCTAGATGATAAAAGCTATTTCCTATTAACCAGATTAGAAGTCACATGTGAGGAAAGCAATTCTTACTGAACAGAGGAACAGAGTGAGGCTTCCTAGAAGGCGAGATCGTGTCCAAGTCTCTCAGCCTCTTGAGCACATATCAAAGTACACAGAATAGAAACAGCTTTAGAAGAATGGCCTGCTCTGAACAAAACTACTTCAGAGGGCTGTGCTGATCAAACTTGGGGAAGAGATGACAGCATCCAAGGCAAAGCCCGTCCTGATGATCTTTGATGTGCAGGTAGTTTTAACTCTTCATAATGAAAATGAATACGCTGTTTTCCTAGGCATTTTACAGCTCTCAAACTTTAAAGGCTGTGTCCTTAAAGGCACAGTCCATGCAGCGAGCTAAACTCATGAATACCTCAAGTGCTTTATATTGCTATGAGTCACCATGCAGCAAATTAGTCAGCTTAATTTTTAGGTGAGCTGTTTATTGAATTTGTGATCATCACACCACATATACAAAGATCAAGGAGAGGATATAGCATGGAAGATGGACTGCAGAGAGGGGAGCAAGGAAAAGTCCCTGTCTTCCCAGAAAGCAAGATCAGACTGCTGACTTGGAAAAGGGGTGACGAGCAAAGGAAGAGAACTTCTTTCCCTCTCTAGACTCCCAAAGTACAGCCAGATACTCACACGAGACTGCTCCTCCCTGGCTAAGGGCTTGTGTGTGTTGTGAGCAGAATGCAGTGAGCCAGGCTGGACACTGCCAGGCCCCTGGACAGTGTGTGCAGCTGCTGCAGCACAGGGCCACCAGCTCCTGCCCACACCAACCCTGAGCACAGGTCTCCGCAGCTACGTCTGCCTTTGGTTGCTCCCAGAGAGCAACAGCATTTCAAATCCCCAGGTTTGGGAATCCCAGAATCCCTGTCATCCTGGAGAATGTAGGGATTTACAACACAAACCATATTCCATAACAGTTGTAAAAAAAAAAATAAATATATACACATACATTTACATACATATGCAATCTAAATTGAGAGATAGACAACGTTCTCCTCTAACTTTTTTTACCTCCATCATCCAGACTTGCAACCTGATTACATTATGTGCTTCTGTACACAGCACAAGAGGCCGACACTGAAACCACTCATTTTCATTTCCTAGTCTTGCCCCAAAATCTTGGCATAGAGTGAACATAAGCCAACTAAGCAAGACACAACAAAAAGTACTCCCACATCAAATAACCCTTGTTACCGCTTTGCAAAGGGCTCTATGTAAGTGCAAGGTTTGGATTCGTTTTTTAAATTAGGTTCAGAGGGAATACTTTAGTTTGGTGATGCCAAACAAAGCCATTTTTCTTCCCATTCCTTAATAGGTAACTAAATCCAGAGCATAATTACAATTCCAGCTCTGGAATTCCATTACAGGCACTGAAAGAAGTCACACATTTCCTCATCAAAGATGACAAACTCACTATCTCCATAAGTCAGTTACACAGTTGTCCTACAATACCTCTCCTTTAAACTTTTAAAAACCACTACTTATTTTAAAGAAACGTTTAGGAAAGCCTCAGCTACATTCATGAGAATGTAGTTTTACATGTTTTTTACCAGCACACACTTATTCTCATCTTGACTGTACAGTTCTCACACCCATGGTTAATGCAGTGAATCAGCAATTATTTTCCTAGTGTCTCCAAATGTCAAGATTAATTTCACTATCACTGGTAATAAAATGGTTTCAAACGACATCTTTAATCAGCAAGTAAGAATGCACTCCTCCAATAGAGACAAGCTGTCACAAAAGGTCACCAAAATGTGACAGGATGGAAATTACGTTTGTAACTTCAACTGAAATGTTAATTCCTCTTTAAGTGTTTTCTCAACTATGTTCAGATTTTGAAGTAAGGAGATGTAGCACTGCAATGAAGTTTCATTTTTAAACCAGCAGCATCTGTAAAAATTTGCTATATAATATCAAAAGCAAGCAGTTATTTATATGCAAACAAGTGGGTTTTTTGCTATTTAACTTTCCACCACCTGGTCAATCCTTTTGTCTCTGTCAACAAATTAACATGAAAAACTAGTATAAAGAGAAACATTTCACAACAGTAAGACTGTATTTTTACCAAAGATTGGTTTCAAAAAATAGCTCTTTGATTTATAGATTCATCCACATTTTTGTTTCCTTTTCCTTACATCCCAGAGCTACATCCCAAGCTACTTAACACTATGTTTAAAGATGTCTAATACAAATCACTGTTCCTTTAACAGTCAAGCTCCATGACAGGTTTTCTCCTCATTGACTCGTCTTGTCTTTGCATTAAACTACACAGGAAACCCACAGATATATGGAAATGCAGGCAATTGTCACTTGACTTGCAATTATGTGCAGAGATACAGCTACTTCAGGGCACATATTGTATACAAATATTTTAATATATCTACTTTTAAAATATTCTCTTTTGTAAAGCCACCAGCACCCTCTGTATATAAAAGATATGGTCTGCATGTAGAATTTCGGTCCTATGGTTGAGAACATATTTGGAATACACCTCAGCTAAAGTATCCCTTCCCCATGAGACTACTCTGCGCCTCTAGAGGGTTCCCTTCAGTCTTATTCTAATCCAAACCCATTCTTGATTATCAAGACAATGCTGAATAAAGGCCCTTAATACACACTTTGCCTGAAACTGCAACTAAGAAAAGCTAATTGCTAAAAACAAAACAGCAGATGAGAAAGATCTTGATTCAAAATCATAAACGGATGTCTCCCACAGCACAACGAACCACTGTGAAAGTCTGGTTCAGCCTCTGCAGCTGACTCATGGCTGCCCACGAACAAGGCCTCTTAGACACAACACCTGTTATAGAATTAAGGGTTCTCAATTAAGTAAAAGTCCAAATTCCTCAGAACCAAATTAAAGAATTAGTAGGCTATGCAACTCAAGAGAAAAATCCTGACAACTGCCATCCTTTGTGAAGCAAGGCTTTTAATGTAAGAGGATAATTTAATCAGGATGAGATGAGACCATCTAGGTATGTACTCTGGGAAGGTAATTCCAAAATGCCCTGTTGTCCCAAAGGTGCTGACTCATCTAGAAGTGAAGCAGAAGCATCAGCTGCCAAGCTCACGCTGCATGGCACCCACCTTAGAGCAATCTTGTGTGAAGAATACATCCCTATGGTCTGGCAAAACTTGAAGTATCATCAAAACATTCTCCCAGTGGTATCTGGCACTTAGCCAACAGTAGCTAACCATTTGCCTTCATTATCAGTTCACCTCTCTTCTATACCTTGATTCTTTCAAAAAAAAAAAATCAGGGCTTTTTCTCCATAGTTTGAATTGATATTTTGGTTCAGTAGCAAAACTACTACTGCACACCTTTCTGAAAGCAAAACTTAATTTCTGCCCATATCCCTCATACCACATTTTTCATTATTATTATCACCACCACGAAGAGGCAATACAGTTACCCCAGTGGGACAGGTATAACACCAGTACCTGTGTACCCAGGTCACATGAGGGGTCTTGAAGTTAACTCCGAAAACCATAAACCAGTGTAGTTTTACTTACAGACTAAAAGAAAGCAGCTGCAATGAAGCTGCAAATCTACTACTTCTTCTGAACTAGCAAATTCATTAGCTACAGGAGCAGTGTTCTTAGAAACACACACATGTTATGCTACTCAAATAAGAAGAGAATACACCCTTTTTGAAACGGCCTAAAGAATCAAGGATATATAAGTCGCAGATTGTTCTGTGTTAGAGAAGCTGAAGCAAGAAAACAGAGGTTTCCCTGTTTTTCTAAAATGCTCCCCAGGAAGTTACTATTTCTCTAGGTCAGCCCAACAGTAGGAACACAACGGGTTCACAGCACTCATGCTTCTGAGGAAAAACAGCAAACGTGCAGTTATTTCACAGCAGAACACAAGGTTTGTGTTATCAACTGAAAATATTCCAAGGACGGAAGTCCAAAGGAATTCCTTAAAATGTATTTCACGAAGTCCATGAAGAAGCACAGTTCAGATAGCTGGTGTGTGAAAACAGGAAAGCCTGAAACAGTAAAGACACCACAAAGATCTCAAAGAACAAACATTGTGCTCTTCAAAACATGACACACTTAAACATTAGTCCCAAGGAGATAAGACCTTGCACATGCTACAACAGACTCGTGTGACTTTGGACAACTTGGACATAGGTCAGTCTGAGTTTTAAGGTGACTGTTTTGTCTTTTGCTATTAAACTCTTATCTGAAAGTTCTGGCAAGCCTTTAATCCATTGCCCCAAAACCTTACCCAAAGTTTCTGGAATGTTTCTCCTTTCTCTTGTCACATCTGAAAGCCTGATAATTGTTCCTTCTTTCCGTTCTGTTTTGAAACGTAATCGTCCAGACTCCTCATCATCATCCTCCTCTTCATCAGATTCTTCTTTTGTTTCTTTCTGAAGTTTCAGAGATTCAATAGCTGCCTGAATCATGAAACAGAGGACAAGCACACTGAAAAAAACTCTACTTTCTTGTGATCAGTAAGTGTCGAAAGACAAAGCTTTCTTTAAAGGTCCCTTTGTACAAATTTTGCTGGCATTATGCATTATTTTCATATATGACACTGAACATTTAAATGCTTGGGTTTTCTTTAATATAAAGACATGAATTATATAGTAAATGATATGGTAAAATCTATGGAGAAAACCCATTTTGCTGCAATATTTAAGGCAATATAAAAACTCCAGTTAGAACCACCATCTGATTAGTAGCTACTTTCACACACAGAGCAACGTTTTACCACCAAGTTAGCTCAGATGAATCTGGTAGTATCCCAGGTTTGCAAGCAATACAAACATTTTTTTTTTCCCCCACTTGTTAACAACTAGCAGTAGCATGTTGTTAAGAAAAAAAAAAAAGAAACTAAAACCTCAATTTTATTCCTCGAGGTATGTGTAACTGTACTGGTCTTCACTTTTTCTACTCCTTGAATACTTCCCAGTTTTAATTCAACAATTAGAAAAAAATTTAATACGCTAAATTTGTATATTGGAATGTTACTCCCTTGCCTTCATTTACTTTCCAGTTCTCTCTATAACAAAGAACAATTATTTAGATGAAACAATATTCCAAATGAAAATGGATCCCTCTTCAAATTAAAAGAAAAAATTCAATTTAATTTTCCTATGCTGGCATGATAAAATTAATGTTCAGAATATTACACAAGTTATATTTGATTTTTAGAGTGTAAAATTAGAGTATTTTAATGAAGTCTGATTTTCCTTAAAATATTTACTTACTGTGTGTTTGGTTATTTCTTGCACAAGCCTACTTGCTCATTTCTTCAGAGGCTGCACATGCATTTTAGTTCTTTGCAAAGCCACTAACTACATCATAACTTTTATGCTGCTTGAGGATAGTTAAAAAATGAGTGAAATGTAACATGCAAAGATGGTTTAATCTTCTAATTAGCCAGATTGGTGCAGTAATTTATCTGAAAAAGGCACAGCAAGCCTGTCAGTCAGGCAGACAGGCACTAAGTCACAAATCAGGAGTAATTAATGACAAAATGGTGCAAGAGATGGCAAATTTCATTATCCAGGAGCCCAACTTCATCCAAAACCAAAAATAAACATGGGAAGCAAGATCAGAGACAGAATCTGGCAAAACAGTTCCTACTTTGAAAGACACCATACCACAGGAACTCAAGCTCAAAGCTACTCCAACTTCAGCCTGGTGAATAAATGATCTCTACAATCAGTTATTGGGCTTTGATGGGTTACTGACCCAAAGTCATTTCCATTTTATCATATCCTTAGCTCAGAACGTGTTTTTTTCCATTTCAGACAAACTGAACTACAAGAACTACATCTCCTCTATTCAAGAACCACATCTCTTGACCTCACAAAAATGCTTTAAGGTAGAGCTAAGAGAATAGCTGGTTTACAGAAAGTTTTAAGGCCTATTTTTTTTTTTTTTAAAAAAATACTGTTACGTAACATATCACAAAATGCAGCCAAAAACAACTGACAGGAGAGTGGGCAAAAATAAAAATGAAAAAAAAAAACCCACCTTCAAGACTGAAAGAAATTCAAACCTCAAAAGCAAATCCAAACTGAGCACAACTGGTCTAATTAACATACCCATATATAATCAAAGCACCTCTGAGGACAGTCACTTGAGACTCATGGAACATAGGAGGAATGTTAGCAAGGAAAGAGATGCTACCTTAGTGTAACAAACAAGAAGGAGGGAGAAAAACAGGGTTAGTGTTTTACTTTCAAAAGAGGGACTCCCAAAAGAGAAGTAGCAAGATCTGTACCAAGTCTATGCTTTTAAATATCACAAACACCATCATTTCACTGTCTTTAAAAATTTTCCCTTCAGGATCAGGATTTGGATGTCAGAGTTGGGGTGGCTGTTTTGTAAGATGTGCTCTCCATTACACTGAGCCTCCTACTTTAGAGCATAAACCCCAGACACATCCATTCTCTATGTCCATGCCCCTCAAAAGCCACATTGGAATTCCAGTTTTGATTCATCAAAGACTGGTCTCACTCATGTAATCTCACCCATGAGCGCAAAACTCACTCACGCAAGGCTCTGCGTGTGACTCAGACTGCAGAATCAGGACTAGCATGGTTAATGCAGCCTGCATTGTCCTAAAAAGTCTGCAATGCTTTAATGAAATGCCTCAGAAAATTCCTATGGAAAATCTGTTGCCTTTTAATAATTATTCCATCTGGAAAAAAAATATAATCATTAAAAAAAAGCAAGCTGTAAGACTACAAGACAACTACTCTCCTATGCAACAATAAAAAACATTTCTCAAACTTTTCTAGACCAGTATTATTCTGTTCTTAGACGCTTGTAATCAACTCTGCAGTCTTCTGGGCCTAACTCACTTGATTCATCGGCGTAATGCTCATGCCACCTATTAACAACCAACAGCCATACAAGCATTACACAAAGACAAAACAAAGCCAAGTTGCTGATGGAAAAGCAGGCACCAAGGAAAGGCAGCGCTCAGGAACGCTACCTGGCCACGTCCAGGTCTGACTACGTGTACCACTGAGGGATTTACAGCGGTTGCGATGGAGACACAAACCTGCCTGACAGCCAGCCATATGTTCTCTCCATATAGCCCCGGGAAAGGTTATCTGAGCTGTGTAGGAGCACACACCCTTCCCCTGCAATCTGTTCAACAGTTGTAGCCTGCGAGCTCTTCAGATCCTCTTTTCCAACTTCCAATCTAACGGGGTGAGTTATTTTGCCAAGACCACAGTGTATGAATGGATCCTGTGGTTCAACACAAATTTACACAGGAAAGACACAAGTGCAGACACAGAATTAATATGTACCAGTTCTACCAGGATCCTATTTAATAACTGCTAATGATGAATATCTCTGCATATAAAGTCCTTCAACAGCCACTTGAGGTCACGTGACTGAACTAGCCAGCCAAGGCTTCTTAGCAGCTGTTCTTAAAGGGAGCTTAACATTTCCCATTATGACATCTTGCACAAAGCTACCAAGAGCTTTGCTGACCCCTCCACACAAAGAAAAATAATGACCTTTCTTCTATCACAAGGTCAGAGTCCTCTGCCATCCTCCTTAAATAATTATGCCGTAAGTCCCAGCCACTGACCAGAACTCCCCACGCTGGATTATGATCTGCCATGGAGAACAAGCGAGTGCTCCTGTCCCGATCAGCTTACCAGGCAGCTGCAGGGCTGATAAGAGACAGAGCCCAAGGAAAGCAGGAGAAAACACCAGTCAGCACGATAAATGCTGATCTTAGCACAGGATCCTCCTAAACACAGGACTGTCAAGTGTTCTCGAGAGCTTTGTGCCAGAGAGTTCTAATAAGTACGAAACAGGTAAATGCTGTAAAGGCTAAACCAGACTCCCTTCACATGAAGCACTACAAAGATAAAACAAAAAAACTCAGCCAGAACACAAGCAGTGGAGGCTTCTACCAGAGGCTAACCCTGAAATAGCAGCAATTCCTCAATCCTAAGGGATCCAGAAATAGCAGAGAGCAGGCAAGAGGATGTTACACCTATTCCAAGGATACCTCCACTTCACAGATGAAAAGTGGGAAAATAAAACAAACCTAGGAGCATCTAAATATTTTTAAAACCTGGCTGTTTTGATATGCACTCTTTTTATCATTTTCCTCAAGGCTGACAGCTAGTGTTTTCAAAATCGAACAGAGAACTAAAATGTTTAAGTTTTTGCTAAATACAGATGGAACAACTCAACAGACACATTGACCTCCTTATTGCCAAGTCTGTATTCTACCGAAAGAAAAGCACTATGCAGAACTTCCTCATGCCATGTTTTTTTAATTAAGTTCTCATCATTTCTTACCAGCATAACCCAAGACATGGTTTGAATTTATAACAGTGAGAACCGCCCATCATAGTCTCCATAAGAGATTACTTCCAATGAAAACTCCAGAAAAATTATTAATTCAAATTGCAGGAACTTATAGTTATGAATGTTTAACAGAAATAATTAGTGATACTATTCCTCTAAAAAAAAAAAAAAAAAAATAGGACATGATAGCTCATGTAACTGACAGTTTTACCACACGTATTTGCATCTGAAGCTTCTGGGCATTGGGTTTTGCTTTGTACTTTAAGAAGGCAAAAATACTTTCTGAAGCATCACTACATTTTTCAAGGAAGCTCCACAAAATGTTACTTATTCAAAGACCAAGTTCTAAGCACTCTTCCAAATTAAATATCAAGTGAAAAAGCATGCCTTGAACCCGGTCTGGCCAGAGACACAAACTTTTCCTGTCTCTTCCTCACACCTTTCTCCTGAGTGCTCCTCTTAACAGGAGTATCACTTTCCTTACTCACCAGTTTCCTTCCCATCACATTCCAATTCCCCAGCAGGTTGTTTTTTCTCTTGGTTTACAAAATTTCTTCATGCAATGTAAGAGGCCTTTTTTGGTTTTAATGTGGAAACCGCTTAAAATACAACACTACCAAACACTTTCTCACTTTTCTCTTCGTTATTCGGATGCCAACTTTCAACCAAAAAATATCACTATTTCCTTGTACTGCATCTATTACAGCTCCATTCTCATGTTGCAATTTTTACAGGAGAATGCCAACAGTTGCTCTTCTTTACAAGCAGTGAATGTTATGAGATCTAAGGAGGAGTGCTGTTGTGTAACACTTGAATAGAGAACAAAACTGTTCAGAGCTGGAGGTATGCATCTAACCATGTAATAAGCACTCTACAAACATTATTGCTTTTGGTGGTATTGTCATTTTAAGAGTGCAATACTGAGCCTACTGACAAATGTAAATAAGCTACATGTGAAATAATAAAGGAAGAAAAAGATGGTACTATTTTGGAAACCAGAAACTTGTGGTAATCTGCAGACCACCAGAATAAAGCCAGAACATAGATCGACTGAATGAAGATGTGCCCAAAATGTTCAAATCATATAATGGACAAATTCTCCAAAAGCTCTATTAATAAAATCAATTAAAAGTTTGCATTAATGTTAGCTTATGAATGAAAGGAATTCTGAATTGGACAAATTTAGACAACATGATTACAGAATTCTCACCATTTAATACTTTAAAAAAGCAGCTGTGCTTTAAAGCACCAAGTTTGACAGCAAATCCCACCTATGTACTTAATTTTACACAATGGGCACTGTTCTCATTGTCTCATAAAGACTGTAGCTACAGATAGCACAAATGCATCAGTCTGCTTTTCAAACACCAAAAGAAAAGTACATATAAGCCAGTGAATGAATAAGAAGTGTACTTCTTTGGAAGGGTAGATTTAATACTCGGGAATTGGGAAATTAACTATGTTAAGGTATTTTTTGTGTCAGATGTCATGCACACAACAACAAAGACTGAACAATGCAGGTGGCCCCTTTCAGTGCATCTCTCCTCCCAAAAGCATGTTGCTTTATTACAGTAAGTTGGACTCAACTAGAGCATCGCAGCACACCCAGTTGTTAGAACTTCATAGAATAACGCTGCTGCGTCTTTGAGGAATTAATTTCCTGATGAGTTAAAGCTCCAAAGAGGGAACACATTCTGACTGCACTTCTCAGCAGGTAATCCATTCAATCCTATTTAATTAAGAACTGGAATAAAAGTAATATTAAAGCAGATTCCTGGTGGGGAAAGGAAAAAAGTCCCACATCAAAATCCCGCTGTAAATTAATAACAGGTATGCTACCACTGTTCCAGGTTATAACCAGTGAAGGCACCCCTGATAGCTTCTGGCATAAGTTTTCTTCTTGCAAATGAATGAACTCATCTGGATTTTTTCCTAATTGAAGAATTAAAATAAACTTCACAGATATTTCAGTCCCAAAACAACAATCTGGACCTTTGCCTTTCTCATGTAGAGAACCTTCCATGCTCATGCTCCCCTCAAAGTGGGATCTCACCCTTAGGATTTTCACCCCAAGTGGGAGAGGGCATCCAATGTATCTGACAATATAAATGCTGCCACAATTCATCTTACACAAAGTCTAATACCACAAATAATTCAACATTGGCCGAGTGTCACCAGTTCTTACCCAGCAATATGGGCAATCCTACAATATCAAATTCTGAAGCAATTACTTCTTTTAAGTTTTCATTAAATTCACAGCATACCTCTTCTGATTCGTTTGTTATCGTCTGGGATTCTTCCAGCTCCTCATCAGCTGTATATTCTTCTTGTTCTTCCATTGCTTGCTCATTATATGACTGCATGTAATCTTCATCCTAAGGCAATAACACATGAAGGTGAAAAGACACAGGCCAAGCTGCCAGAATGGCAAACTCGTTAAGAGATGGAGTCTGTATGCACTGTTACTGGTTCCAGAAGGGGAAGAGAAGTAGTGTACCTACCACAACTGTCAGTTGTAAGTGACATATCATAAAAGCACTTCTAATTATACCTTTCAATTAGATAATCATTTCTATATTATCAAAGCCATAACCCAATCAGTTTTCATTCATCTATTGTCCCATCTGTTTCTGTACTTCTACATCCTTTGATTACAAATTCATGCAGTATCTTCTTACCAAAGGCAACATGCACCTACAGCACATAGGCAATAACATCAGACTTTACCCCATCAAAAACAAATATTCTTAATAAATTCTGCAGGTGCTTACATATTCAATTCTGAGCAATTATGAACACAAAATGACAGCAAGACGTTTCTTAAGTAAGTTTACTTGTGTTTTAAAACACCTCACTGCTCACATACAGTTTTAATTAAGATTAAATCATTTCTCTAGCAATTAAAGCCAGTGCACACTCTCTAATACACTGCTTAAATTATATTGAATTATGCAGGTGACATTTTCTGAACTAACCTCCAATCTCTTTATTCAGGTTTAGACAGTTCTCACTTACAAAAAGGATGAACGAGCAGGACATCAATCACTTTGGGATATTAGCACCTTAAAGATGTCTTTAGCAGGTCAATAATCTTTTCACCTTCGAAGGACTTTATCAGATCTTGTCTAAAGCCTGGATAAAAGCTTTTGCATTAAGTACTTCTAACAATTGGCAGTGTATCTCCACCACACAAAGCTGTTTTCTTCCTTAAGGATACAATCCTCAAGGTCACGATTCTCAACTGCCTTCCAGCATGACAAAGGAGCATTACCTACCGCCAAACAAGCTGTCAACACAAACTTTGTCACAGCCTAGATAAAGAAACTGGCAGACAGTGATAATAGGTCTAATTTCCCCTCCTCCCTAGGGAGGTAAACAGATTTTAAATCAGTCTAAAACCCTATGCACGTGAAGCAATGTTATCTCTGAAGATACAATAGAAAGAAACTCACTGGAAATTCATCTAGGGGTTCATTGATTTCAAGGTCTAGCACTTCATCTTCTTCTCCAGGCTCTTCCCCATACTCTATTTGGTCTTCTGTCAGTTCAGGATCATTGCCTTCATAATGTCCTTCCTCTGCATACTCTGAAGCATACATTTCAGGTGCTTCAGATTTGCCATAACCAATTTCATCTTCCCCTTGATCATACTCAGACGCGTGTTCTATTGATGGATCGTTGATGGTCTCAGAGAGGTCGTACGAGGTGAGCAAGCCAGACGTAGCGTTGAGGCTGACGGTGACACCTTGAGAACTACGGTACGGGGAGGGGAAAATGGAGGGCTTGAAACACAGCAGTCAACTGCTCACAAAAGCTTTAGCAAAACAAAGCCAACAAATACAAATTGTCTAAGTTGGTGAACAAAATGATACCTCACACCCTATTTGAGTCCATGCCATATTGTCACAACGCAGACTGTACTGCAGCTTATCACCAGCTGCAGGCTATTTGACCAGGGGAATCAAACCAACCAGATGGTTTAGCAGGTCAAACTGCCAAAAGTCCTGCTTGGTAACCAGAGCAGACTGGATTCAATTTTAATTCCAAGACTAACAAAAAATACACCAAATTACTATAACTGCATCTGTTTTCCCAATCTTACAGAAAACACTAGTAAATTATTTTTTATTAATGTATTAATATTGTTCTTTCTTGATTATTTAGAATTCAAACCTACATTTTTTATTACAGATTTAATGTTCTACTTAAAAGAATGTTAAATATCTAGTCAAAAATTGCCATTTAAATGCCTAACATATTCTAATTTAACACTAGCACTGAAAAAAAACCAATACAAATACTGGCAAGATTATATATAATCTGGAGGAAAAGTAAAAAAAGAGTAACTCATAATTTACATTAACAATAGCTAGTGCCATCGACACATCACAACTAACCAACTGCAGACTAACTAGAAAAGCAGGGGGGAAAGCTCTTCTTGATTTGAGGGCTGCAGGTACAAGAAACACTTTTTTCTTTTTTAACTGTATTCTTATTAGTCTCTATTTTCCCAAGTTCGCAGAAACGAGATCCAGGCAGCTTTAAACTATTTGCATCTATAAGACAGAGAAGATTTGACACAAAAATTAAGACATTATGCAGGATTATCATTATCCTCCAAACTACAGATGCCTAAGTGTGTCTGAATGGAACTAGAGGGATAGGGGAATGGAGTGGAGCCAGGCTCTCACTCTCTTGCAATAAATCTGCTAAAAAGCAGAACTCGTCTGCAGAAACCTGCTTCCACTGAGCAGTATTATCCCATTTCAGACCCTTTCTCATCACTCATGAAGTCACATAGCCATCCCTGCTGCCCAGGACTCACAAGGAGCAAATCCAGAGAAGGAACACCAGGGCCTAACTGGGAATCCCCATTTTGAAAGGAACAGCCCAGCCCTCATTCCTGCAGGGAGGAAAACAGCAGCCAGTGGAGAGACTGACAGCCTGACTCCTTACCCAAACTCCAGCCAAGGTCAGAAAGAAAATCTCAGAACAACGTATCTATATATTGATATATAACAATGTTATATACATATTCATACCCTTCAGATGCCATGCCTGCATAGTATATAACAAAAGTAAAGGAAAAGCTGGCAAAACACACAGGCCATTAAAAACAGCACTGGTACTGCATCACTTCCTTCCCCCTGCAGTCCAGCTTGAAATGTGGAAGTGTCAAGACACTCATTTTAACTTGTAATGCCCAAAATTCAGTTGGGGAGCTGTATCACCACAGTGTATTCACAAGGCCAGATCCTCAATAAACTCCCATGGAAGTACCCACTCCAGGCTATAAACTCTGTACAAAATTGTCTGCTGTGTAATTGTACACAAATATTTAAGCCACAAATCAAGCCTTACAAAATATGAAGCTCCTCACCTCAAGGTCTTAGGAATTAAGAAATATTTTAAAAAGTAAGATGGCCAAAAAGGACTTCCCAGGAGAAGGAAGGTTACAATGATACCAGGAAGGCACAAAACAAGACTTCTGCAAGTACTTATAAATAATTCTAAATGCACAGGCGATGACAGTTTCTTCTTTATAAGCTTTTTTTATAGTTTTGAGTTAAATTGATCAGATTCAATAAAAAAAAAGTCACTTTACTGAAATGCTAACAATGCTGCTGAACATACATACACACGATTAAGTAGCTGGCTACATAAAAAGCAAAACTGTTTTAGATATACATCAATAACTTCAGTTTAGTAGTTACTAGCTATCAGTAATAGTAGTCATTAATATATTTTGAGTTATCCAAAACACAAGATTTAGGAAAGAGATACCGAAATTCTTGTTCCTCTTCATTGTCACTTTGCAGAAGATCATCATTCAGCTCTTCATCTGACAAGTCTGACTGATTCTAGGTTTCAGAAAAAGTCAATAATGAACATAAAGGATACAAAATTTTAACTAATTAGGTACTGAAACTACTGAACTTTCTGAACAATAACTATAATGAAGAACACATCCCAGACTAAGACCATATCTCCAATGAAGTTAACTAATTCAATAAGAACATACTACACAAGGCAACAAATTGTAAAACAAATGTTTGACAGTCTTATGGACATTGACAAAACTCAAGTTTGCCTAGCTATCAACAGTTTTTGTGGATTCACTCTCAAATACATCCGGAGATGACAACTTACGTAAGAAATACCAAGAAGAAAGTTAGCTTTAGTGCCCTGTCTTGTGACCTTGATGCATTAGGCAAGTCAAGAAAATCCACTAAGTTACTTCACTTTCTAGAGAGGGGGAAAGGATATGATGATATGAAGAAAACTGGAAAAAAACCATAATTAGCTTCTATGTGAACAAAAAAAAAAAAAAGAAGCAGCTGAAATTCTCCTTTAATTTTTTTTTTTTTTTTAAATAATTACCCACTAGGAAGAGATAACTGCCTTTTTGCTCAGCAACATTATATCCATACCCCTAAAGTAACAGAAGCGTAAAGGTTAAACAAGGGTAGACTTATCTAAAAGTACTGGAATAAGATTAAGTAGAAGCAAGTTTAGCCTCAATAGCTCAGGGAAAACTTCCTGAGAAATCTATTACTAATCATAGGAGTCCATACCCACAGATACCACTCAGAGCCCTGTAACATGGCAAACTGAAAACAAGAAAAAGCACAGAACACATGATACGTTGGAGAAATTTCATACGGGTTAGTAATCACACAGATAATTTTTTTTAAGATAAGTAAGGAGCTTTATCAACTCCCAATTCAACTACAAAGGTGTATGCAATGCTAACTGCTTATGTTTTAATAACTGCTTAACACACATCTGCAATCCTGAGCCTCTTGGAATTTTATTTTTTTTAAACCACTACATGAGACAAAGGAACTTCCTAGCTTTAATAGCAGTTACTAACAGACTAATTTCAAGAAGCTAACTTCCAAAATTTAGAGTGTGATTAAGAGCAACTAAAACTCAACTTTTACTATACCTCAGTTTCTTAACAAACCTATACGACTCCAACTAAAACTCTAAATTTAAACTATTTCTAAATTAATCCATTTAGCAGATGAAGTGATGAAAGAGGTGACTAGCCAGTTTGATTTCCTAAACAGAAGCCCTGTCTTCTCCTGCAGATATCTGGCAAATCCGAACAGATATTTAGTTATTTTCAGAGACACCAGTTTTGGAAATCGGTATCAGCTAGGATTTCATAGCAGATAGGGATGACTTGTTTATGTTCTCCAAGGCTAGCTGCTCTCATATTCCTCGCTCACTGTAGAAGGAGAAATCCTCTGCCTACTCACCAGACAGAGTAGTAGTGGATTGTGTGCAGTGAATGGATCTTTAACAGACACCACTGACTGGGTTTTTTTATGTACTCTCCAGTAAATATTGCTGGTATTTTGATAAGTAACTTTTAACAGCCAGGAAACCGGGAGTTGCAGTTGAGCTCTCCAGAACACCCATCAGCACTCAGGAGGCATAAGTGGCGGTGGGCTGTTTTGAGTTTCTAAATGTTAACGCAACACGAGCCACAGAGAAACTCATTTTGAGAACCACCTCCTGATTTTTTTTCTGAGACAGTATTTCTAATTTTTCTAAACGTTGTATTTGAAAAGCCACACTTGGAGGCAGTTCACAAAAGGAAATGGCTCTGGGCACAGAGCACTCTGGCAACCAGGCAGATCTGGGGTACCTGTGGCTGTCAGGGAGGAGACCATGAAAGACACAAAAGGCCACAGCAAACAAATGAAGTAAGCTGAACAATCTTCACATTATAGTATCTGTAGCAATTCACTTTAATGTGCATCTCTTACCTTTTTGCCAGTTAGCAAATCCTCTCCAAGCAAGTCATCGTCAAGTTCACTGGAAAACAGTAACAAATTTAAGCTGAACCTTAAAAACCTGAAAAAAACACCATTTAGGGTACACACCCTAAAAAACTAACTTAAGAAGAACTGTTACTAAATCTGCACAAAGATTTCCTTTAGCAAAGCATTTTGCAAGCTGAAAAAGGTGATAATGTATTTTAAAAGAAACAGACTCCCCCCCTCTGTAATAATCACTTATTACAGACCAATGCCTGTATTAGAACACGCATATCTGATAACAAAATAAGACTCTGGTGATTTGAAATGAGCTGTAATTCAAGAATGTGACCCTCCTTCTGCCTGCACACACTAAAAAAAAAAAAACTAACACAAAAATAAAAGCATTATGCCTTAGATACTATATAAAATTTAAATACCCCACAGTGAGAATGGGCTGTATGAACAGAATGGGAATATATATAAGAGTTCCTTAGGCCTATGCAGGAAATACTTGAAAATGGGGAAGCCAATGCCAATACATAAATTAGTGCTAGAAGCTGGTTTTGCAGACAAGACACATGTCTTTCAGAGCTGGTTACTGTACAGATAATGCAGGGAGAAATAAAAATCTTGTGGGCTAGAAGAGAACAGATAACATTCCAAACCAACCCTAAATAGGACCTTATCATCAGTACACAGTATTTGTCCATAGTTACTGATCTCAAACAGTTCCAGGAATGACTGAACATTAACAAATAGCAATTCTTTCATGCTCACTACAATATTAAACAGAAATTAGGACATAAAACACATCATACATTCCAAAAAGCAAACTGACTAGAATTTAAGCCCTTTATTTCAGAGACAGAAAATGCTACACAATAGAAATGCTTAAAGAAGAAACCAGAGCCAAAACTGAAGTAGGAAAAAGTCACTAATCTCTTCAGCTGCCAGTAATCTGACAAACGCACCCAAAGGTTTGAAAACGTTTCCCAGCACTGTGGGTGACCACTGACAGCTTTTAATAAAACAGCACTAGAGAAATTCCAAAAGATGGCGAGGGTGTGTGTTATAGTAGCATTCAAAGAAGAAAAGCAAGTTCAGGTAGTAAGAAATTCAGATCAAAAAGGAAAAGAAAATGAAAGTTAAATTATCTAAATATAGTTAGGGCTATTCAACAGATTACTAATAAACATTTTCAATGTGGTTCTTTAAAAAAAATAAACATTTGGTCAATAAAAGTAATTATATATGTATTGTAGACTTTTTAAAACCTTTGGCTTATTATTTGACAATCAAAAAAATTAGCAGTAGCACATAAATGAAGCTCATAACAGCAGCAAAAGTGTTTCTCAATGTCCCTCAAAACCTACTGAAATTTTCCATGTCATTCAACATTCTCGTTGACAAATCGTAAGAAAAATAACCATTGGTAACTTTTTGAATAAACAAAGTAACACTGCCTGCACAGTAAAGCAGACCTATCACAAGCTTCTTTTGAAATAGCCAAATCTGAAGTTCTGTCAGAAAGAAGGACCAGAATTACCAGATCCAATTGTTAAAAAATAATAAAAGTAAGTAAATAAACTAAAAAAAAAAAAAAAGATCTTAGGCTAGCTGAGAAAAACAAAAAAACTCATGCTTGCAATCTGATACCACACTAAGTCTCATAAATTAAATGGGAATAAAATTATACATCTGTGATAGTTCCAAAGGGAACTCACCCTCACTATGATCAAGGCACAAAGGTATTTTCAAAACCACAACAGTAGGAAATTAAGGTTAAGAAACTAAGAGTTCACTGCTCTCAGAAGACACAGATCCATTTCCCCCCCTTCCTCAACTCCCAATACTCAACATACCCCTCACCAAATAAATTCAGCTCACCAATGAGGAAAAGAAAATAATAATAAATACAGACAACAGAAAATAGAAAGTTTTCTGCCAGTGTGGAAGAAGGAATGATCTCAGAGAAGGGTCAGAACAAGCGAGTTTCAGCAGAAGTCAGCTACTAAATCAGCCCTGTCATCTCACAGGGTATCACCAGAACTTATATGTTTCTTCCAAACCCAAGCTCTTGGCTACTCAGAGATAAAAGTATAAATTAACAGTCTGTAATAAAGACGTCAGACAGGCCCTTTCTGGCCTCCAGTTTCATGAGCATGCCTCGTTAAACATGAGCACTAGCGAGGGCACAGGAAAAGAATTTGTAAAAAAAAATGTAATGTAATGGGAAAAATTCTCCAAGAACAATGTTACATTTGTACTCCCAAATAACAGGGACTTTCCCAGTCTCAGTTATCACCCTCCAGTGATTGAGAAAGGAAAGAGATCTGGAAATACAAAATTATTTAAATAACTGGGGGATGGGACTCAATTAAGTAGCAACACTGTAAGAGGTGATGGCTGATCAAGATGTGTGACTAACAGCATAACACACACACTCCCAAAAAAGTGATTTAGGTTACAAAATAAAGCATGAAGAATTAAAAAAAAATCTACTGTGTTCATTCAGCCATTTCTCCATCTTCGAGAAACTATATCCTATACTGAATTAGGACAGTTGTTAAAATTCAGGCAATTACAGTAGTCAACACATTCATGTACAGCCTTTGTAATTGTCCAGGTAACCACAGAACTTAAGACACCCAAAGACAATTTGGCAATCTAACCTAAAATCAATTAATTTTAAAATAGAAATAAGAATTCAAAACCATGCAAATACTAGCCTATTAGTTACAGTTGTAAAAAAAAAAAAAAAAAATTTAAAAAATTCTGAAGTGATCAGCAAGATGAAATTCTGGAATCCCCAGCACTACACCTGAAATCACTTCCCCCACAATTTCACTAAAGAATATGCTTTTTTAATTATTAATCTTAAATGATAATGCAGCTAATAATAAACACATAAACAAAACCTTGTTTTCTAAAACTGAATCCTCATGTATGTGCTTCAAAGTCTCAGCTAAGTGACAATACCCTATGACCTTTCTCAAGACCTCTAAAAATAGCTTTGCCCCAGGGAGTTTACCACTGGCCGTAAGCTAACAACTTCCGATACAGCAGCTGTTTGATTCTTCCAAATTTTCTGAAGTGGTAAGAGGAGGACAGCTAAAAAGAAGTGCAACCAGACAGCATCAGAGATCTCACCTATTCATACCACAAAGTCAGCAACAACCAAAAGCTCAGAAAATTCTAACACAAAGCACCCTGCCTGCAATTCTGGCTTCGGTATTTCTGAAGAGGCAGAGCTGGGGCCCAGAGCCAGCACGGCACAGTGACCAGCCTGAGCAAGTCCTCTTCATGACACTCAAACCAGCTGAGCTCCTGGAGGCAGCTCACCACCCAACCCACAACGAGACAGAGGAGGCACCCCGCAGCAGCAGGCAGCACAACGCTGTATAGCTGAGCTACTGTTCAAATCCCTTATTCGCTCTTGGCTCCTACAGCAGCAACCACAATCCACTTAACCCTCCAGAAAAGCAGGGAAGAGGAAGCTAATCCCTCTGGAACGCTGATACGTGTAGAGTAGCTGATTCACTCCAAGGGCTCAGCTCAGTGGAAAACTACTTAGGGTAAAATTTGTTTACTACAATCACTTGAATAATTATTAGAAAAGCCAAAAAATCTATTTAGAATGCTTTTCCCCCCCCCTTTTTTTTTTTTACAGCAAAGACCACTGGCAAAGTCTGACCAAGCCTCTATATTACTAAAAAGGAATCATAAAAAACAAAACAAAAAAAACCACACACAAAAAAAATGAAAAGTTTTCTCCGAAAAGACAGAAAATCTGGCCAGCAGCTTGATTCAAGTCTCTCCCAGATAGAGTGCCTTGGTGCAGAAGAACATACTCTTGTTCTCCCACAAAATAATCACATTCATACATACTTCTAAATCTTTATAACAGTCAAATTTTCTCAATAGAAGCCCATAGCTAAGCTCCATTACTCTCCCTTAATGGAAAACTGAAATAGGACTTTGAGGATAAGAATTTAAATACCTAGTTTAAAAAGAAAAAAAAATTTGGGCTAAATCTAACTAAACCACTGAGATCTACTAAACATTTAAAAAGAAAACCAGTACATTAATTGCAATGTTAATTACACACCACAAATACTTCATATTTATCCAGTTTTAAATGGTATCTCTTCACAGCACTCTCTATATTCCTCAAGGCAAATATATGTTTGGCACAATCTACCACTGGCTGACACACAGAGCAACCAACATCTTCATTAGTATCCAAATATGTGCTGCTCTACATGTTAGAATGCCAAAAAGGGAAAACAGAGCAAGAGAATTCAGAATCTAGCAAACCTGAAAATATTCTACCTACCTGTCCCAGTCATCATCGCCAGCTCTTCTTCTCCAAGACCTTTCTGCACCAGGCTTATCAAATTGATCAAAGTCATCATCTGTAAAGAAGGTGATATGAAATCATTCTTACTGAAATGAGAAATTTCTGAAGCAACCACTTTGGTGGGATTCACAGAAGTGTATTATAAACCAACACCACTTGAAGATGAGATCATAGCTCTTCAGCACATAATTCTTACACAGATAGATCTTCACATCAGCCACCTTTAAATCTAGACAGCACAACGTTACATGCCAAATCCTTTCTCTCTGTCAAGATCTCCCCACAGCAAAAAGAAACACTTTTCAGTATAATTCATAGAACTTTTCCAGGACAGACAGTTAAGTTTCACGGCTATAGGAGCGCTCAGACCTAATATTACTGGCAGCGAAGAAACAATACCAAAAGAGGGCCCAAGATCCTGCCAAGTTTGTCGTGTAGACCTGGACCTCCATTCAGCCAACATCATGAGCCTCCAGCTCTTCCAACCCCCCCAAAGTTCTCACATCTCATGCTCTATTTATGAGCAACTCCTACCAAAATCCAAAGCTGAATCACATCCATGCAAAGCCCTTTTCCATCCCTATTAGCAGGATGCATAAAAAAATCCTCAAAAATGACCAGCCAGTCAATCTGTGGTGACTGCAGCCTGTAAGAACTATTCCACATATGCCCCCACCACCTCCCTGTTCTCATCACTTCTCTGCTTATCTCATCATACACGCATGACATAAAGATCTTTGGGAAACAGGAAGCCAGGTTTACTTTTTTTAATGCTTATTTGTTCTGCGACAGCCAACACTGACAATGAGCACTACGAAGTATCTCATTCTGGCATTTTAAGTGTTGTCAGAGTCCAATGCAGGCTATAGCTCTCCTTTAGAAAACAAGCTCATAGTCACACATCTAACACAGGATCCCTTGCCAGCATCACCATTTGTGAGACAGCAAGTGCTGCAGTGTACACAGGCCTCACAGCTCCAGGATGACATGATACCTAACAAACCTCAGGGAGGCATCATTTTTCTCAAACCACACATTCTCATTTTTCTTCTAGCCCTCAAGGCAATAACATAAAAAAAAAAAAAAATCAGTAAACAACACAGCATAACATCTATGGATGTTTCTCCTTGAGAAATTCTAAGCCAATGTTTGTGCCAAGTGTGGTTAAGTGCCTGCAAAAAAATTTGTAGAAAGAGAGGAATACTCGGCACCAGCAGAGCACAAAACCACTGAGAACATCAGCCAAGGATTTTTTTTTTTTTCTTTTTTTTTATAATTCTCAGTATTACTCTGTGGGAGGTGAGGAAAGAAGAAAACATGGAGATGGGGTGTACTGGGTTTGCATGGCAAGGTCTCGGTAGCAGGAGGCAGGGGTGCTACAGGGCTGGTATCTATGAGAAGCCACTCGAAGCTTTCCCCGTGTCTGACAGAACCAATCCCAGTCAGTTCCAAGACTGACCTGCCACTGGCCAAGGCTGAGTCCATCAGTGACAGTGGTAGCACCACTGAGATAAGTTATTTTAGAAGGGAGAAAAACAACCAAACCAGGCAGCAGAAATTGCAGCCAGAGAAAGGAGTGGGAATATGTGAGAGAAACAACTCCGTAGACACCAAGGTCAGTGAAGAAGGAGGGGGAGGAGGTGCTTCATGTGAGGACCCACCCCCAGAGCATTCTGTTACTGAAGGACTGACTGCATCCCATGGAAGGGGCCCATGCTGGAGCAATTAATGAAGAACTATAGCCCAGGGGAAGGATTCACATGGGAGAAGTTAATGAAGATCTATCTCCGGTGGGAGGGACCCCACGCTGGAACAGGGGAAGTGTGAGGAGTCCTCCCCCTGCAGAGGAAGGAGCGACAGAGACAACATGTGGTGAACTGACCACAATCCTCATCCCTCTGCACCACTGGTAGGACAGAAGAAGAGAAAACTGGCAGTAAAGTTAAGCCCAGGAAGAAGGGAGGCATGGAGGGAAGGTGTTTTAAGATTTGGTTTTACTTCTCATTATCCTATTCTGATCTGATTGGTAACAAATTAAGTTAATTTCCCCAGGTTGGATCGGTTTTTCCCATGACAGTAACTGGTGAGTGACCTCCCTGCCCTTATCTCAACCCACAAGCCTTTCATTGTGTTTTCCCTCCCCTGTTCGGTTGAGGAGGATGAGTGACAGAGTGGCTTCAGTGGCCACCAGGGGCCCAGCCAGGGTCAACACCACAGGGGGAATCCATGAACGTTAGCTTTCTAAGCAAGAGAATGTCCGTTGTAGGAGCTGGAGGAGGTTTTGTGTTTCTTCCAGCAGCACCAGTGCAGCTTAGAAAGGTAGCTGTACACAGCAACCGTTGCCAGGACATGCAATACAATGGCTACAGCTCCTCGGTTCAAGGCAAGGCTCTCACACAAAGCTCACCGGGATGTGTGCACATTAGCTGGGTAGCAACCAAAAGATCCTGACAGGTAATCAGTAAACACACTAAGCCCCCTCCAACTCACAGGCAGCACTAGAATGAAACAAAAAAAACTCAAGACCTATCAAGTACCAAAACAAAAGCACTAACTGAATAAGGAAGCAGGACAGGCCAGTTATAGAGGAAAACAAAAGAAATAATCCACCACTTGGCCCTTCCTACTGCAGCTCTAAGAAAATCACTAAAGTGACAGAGAAGTTGCAGGGTGCTGCAGAGACTGACTAATGCTGGCTGTTTCTTAGACCAGCCTGCCTCACACAGCTCTGGCCAGCTGTGAACCAGAGTCCACACAAGGACAGCCAAAACCACTTGGTTTCCCACAGCAAAAGGTTCCTGTTTGCTTTATACTTACCCTGGTGTAGCACCAGCAGCGCTATAAACTGTTCTACAGAGCTTATTTTTTCTTTTTGTTACATATGCTCTGAATTGTTCTCTTTTTTCCTGCTTAGTAAGAATAGATCATGCACACTGGAAATCCACAAAATACAAGCCTCATTTCCTCTCTGGCTCTGCTGATGGTAGTTTCTAACTGTGAACACACTTTCAACAAAAACTTCACTAATCAGTTTTCTATGTAAAATGGAAGTCCTAAGCTACAGTCAAGTCTCACAAGTGTAGGAGGTGAATCTGCAGGAATACTGCAGAGCTCTTAACATCTTCAAATGGTACCAACATAGCCTAAAAAGGTAGTCCTACACAGCAACTGTTGCTAAGATGGAGTATTTTTCTGCAACAAGATGGCTAGACTAGAAGAAACAACTGATGACTGCATTGTTTGTCCTGTTAGAAATACACCTGTATTCTTGTAACTGTGAGCTGTCTCATACACCTTAACAGTTCAAAACTTGGTTTTTTTTGTTCACTTCAGTATTACACTATCATAAATATAAAGCATCCTCTTAGTTTTAGGCATTGAAAAAGCTTTGAAGAGTTCTCCTAATCCAAAACTATATGGAGATGCCATAATGATCCAGCAGTTCACTGGATAGAAAAGTATTACACACTGTTTACTCAACATACCTTTTAATAAAGTAACTAAGGTGGACTGCTTTTGGGAAGAAGAAAACTAGAGGAAAAAAAGTCAATTCATCACGTGAAAAAAATATCACTTCTCTATCCTTAGATTTAATGCTGAAGAAGTCCATTTTCATCTATCCCACTCCCCAGTTTATTTATAACATGACACCTTCGCAGCATTTCATGCACAAGTCTTCAGATTAAGAACTTTTTTTTTTTTCTTCTTTTTTCAACATAAAAGGTTACACAACACCCAGGTACTCTAAAGCCTCAATTTTCAGGAACAGAGTATACCATTTAAAAATAACTATATTTTCATTTGATAGTGAGATGAATTTTGGGCTCTCTTGCTAAGTGACAGAGTAACAGGTTTCACAAGAACAGCCCCGTCTAAAACACAAGCTGGCAATGTAGCTGTACTTAATAGTTAGAGTGAAAACTTCTGGATACAAATCACAGCAGCATCCAGTAGTAAAAACACAAGGTCAACACGAACTCCAGAACCTGAGTCTGTGGTGTACACCTAACACGTTATGAAGCACACTATGAATCCAGCCCCATTTACTACAGGTAATCAAGCTCTCTACACCACTATAAAAATCATTCACTCCTACCACCACATTATGCACAAGAACACACGTACACAAACACACCACACTCAAACACAAGCAGTGCAGTTTATTTGTTCATGAACAGACATCACAGTCTATCCTGGTAAACAATTACTCATAAAAGCCTTAAGTGTTCAGTGACTAAGCATTTATAACAATGTGGCAACTGCACAATGCTCCTAACTACTGTATTTTGTGTTTCCTTTCAAATTACTCCTACAGGATAGAGTTCAGCTTCCTCAAAGAAATAAAGTAGAAAAACTTATTTCTGGAGAAGTTCTTTTTACCTTCCTAAATCCAACTTTTTTTTAGAGTTTGTCACGATGCAAAGCAAGTCACTATCAATAAGGAATAGAAATAATTACAACATACTGCCTGTGATCAAAGTTCTCTTGCCACCGCTGGAAAGAAATGGTACACTTTTTTCCTTTTTTTTTTTCTTTTTTTTGGGTTTTTTTGGGGGTTTTTTTGTTTGTTTCCCCCCCTTCCCCCTTAAACCACATCTAAACCCCAAACCACCAAGCCACTAAAAAAAAAAAAAAGCTTCCAAAGTCTGCTTGGATTTTAAAATGCATTTGCATTGGAAAAACATTTCTCAAGTGTCCTAGTCCTTGCCTCACAAACACTGAACAAGTGAATGAAGGCCAGGAGTTTAAACGAAATCTACACAAACCCACTTCCCAAATTGCTTTGGACACTGATAAGAAATTCCAACTCTCCAAAAACTCTTCAGCACCTTTCACAGCCACCAAAATTTGTAGTCAAAATTTAGGCTGCATCACAGCAGAATTACACAGGACCAATCATATTAATTACTTGGAGGTTTTTTGGTCAGGTTGGTGACAATTTTAAACTCTTCCAGGCAACAAGTTCTACATGACCTAAAATTGGAGGTTTAGTATTTGATGTAATAGAGAACGGTTTGGCTTTTGTAAAAACAAGTGACGTTAAGGCTATGTTTA